CCCCCCCCCCCCCCCCCCCCCCCCCCCCCCCCCCCCCCCCCTGGACCTGGGTCCTGATTGCTGTATTTGGAGCCTGGTTGCTGTGTGGAATGTTGGACCTGGGTCCTGGTTGGGTTATGGGGTCTTGTATCCAGGTCCTGACTGTTATATGTGGTCTTGGACCCAGGTCCTGACTGCTGTATGTGGTTCTGTACCTGGGTCCTGGTTAGGGTGTGGGTTTCTGCACCCAGGTCCTGACTGCTGTATGGGGTTCCATACCCAGGTCCTGACTGTTATATGTGATCCTGGACCCAGGTCCTGGTTGGGGTGTGGGGTTCTGGATCCAGCTCCTGAGTGCTATATGAGATCCAGTACCCGGGTCCTGGGTGAGGTGTGTGGTTCTGTACCTGGGTCCTGACTGCTATATTAGGTTCTGTACCTGGGTCCTGACTGCTGTATGGAGTTCTGGACCCAGGTCCTGGTTGGGCTGTGGTGCGGTGGACCTGGGTCCTGGTTGGGGTGTGGGATTCTGGACCCAGGTCCTGGCTGCTGTATGCGGTTCTGTACTTGGATCCTGGTTGCTGTGTGGAATGTTGGACCTGGATCCTGGTTGGGTTATGGGGTCCTGTACCCAGGTCCTGACTGCTATATGCGGTCCTGGACCTGGCTCCTGACTGCTGTATGGGGTTTTGTATCTGGGTCCTGATTAGGCTGTGGGGTTCTGGACCCGGGTCCTGGTTGGGTTGTGGGATTCTGGATCCAGCTCCTGACTGCTATATGAGATCCTGTACCTGGGTCCTGACTGCTGTATGTGGTCCTTTACATGGGTCCTGGCTAATGTATGGGGTTCTGTACCTGGGTCCTGGTTGGGGTGTGGGGTGTTGGACCCAGGTCCTGGTTGGGGTGTGGGTTTCTGTACCCGGGTCCTGGCTGCTGTATGTGGTTCTGGATCTGGGTTCTTGTTGGGCTGTGGGGTTCTGTACCCAGGTCCTGACTGCTATATGCGATCCTATACCTGGGTCCTGACTGCTGTATGGGGTTCTGTACTCTGGTCCTGGTTAGGCTGTAGAGTGTTGGATCTGGGTCCTGACTGCTGAATGCGGTTCTGGATCTGGGTCCTGGTTGCTGTATGGGGTTCCACACCCAGGTCCTAGCTGCTATATGTGGTCCTGAACCCGGGTCCTGGGTGAGGTGTGGGGTTCTGTACCCAGGTCCTGACTGCTATATTAGGTTCTGCTTCTGGGTTCTGACTGCTGTATGGAGTTCTGGACCCAGGTCCTGGTTGGGCTGTGGTGTGTTGGACCTGGGTCCCAGTTGGGGTGTGGGATTCTGGACCCGGGTCCTGGCTGCTATATGAGATCCTGTACCTGGGTCCTGACTGCTGAATGGGGTTCTGTACCTGGGTCCTGGTTGAGGTATGGGGTGTTGGACCCGTGTCCTATTTGCTGTGTGGGGTTCTGTTCCCAGGTCCTGATTGCTGCATGGGATTCTGCAGCTGGGTCCTGATTTCTGCATCTGATATTGAATCCACCGAGGGATTTCCCTGTTCCTACATGGGGTTTTTGTAGCTGCTGTGTCACTTCTGCGTGGGATTTTGCACCTGACTCCCAATTTCTGCATGGGATGTCCTGATTCCCGCATGGAATTTTCTACAAGTTGCCCTATGTCTGCATGGGACTTTGCAACCACTTCTGTAGTTTTCCATGGGATTTTGCAGTCACCACCTCACTTTTGAACGGGATACTGAAGCCACTGATGGGCTGCCCTGTTCCTGCACGGGGTTTTGCAACCGCTGTTCTAATTCCCTGAGGGATTTTGCACGGCCCCCTTATTTCTCTAAAGAATTTTGCAGCTGCATCCCGATTTCTGCACGGGGTTTTGCAGCCACTCTCTCCTTTCTGCACAGGGGCTGCAGAATGCAGAGGTTGAACCCGCTGAGTGCAGAGGGGGCCTCACTCCCTTGCAGCTGGTTGGGATGTGGATGGTACAGAAGCACTTTGTGCTACCTGATGCTCGAGGGCTCCGGAGCAAAGCCCGCTATAACAAGAGGCGACGCACACGGATTGGGAAACGGGAAAGCACCAGGTAAAGGGGCTGGGTTTGCTTACCAGCGAGCATCTTGTGCACTGGGGGGGTGATGTCAGCCTCGGCCAGCTGCTCGTAGCTGGTGGGGTGGTAGAGGCGGACCAGGGCACTGCCCTGCAGCGACAGCCAGACGCCGGGCGCCGCGCTCACCATGCAGCTCACGCTGCGCCCGCTGTCCTGCCCCACCTGGAGGGTGTGCTGCGGGGACAGAGCCACGCCGGCGTCACCCACAGCCACCAGGGGACGTCTGCGTGGTCCCCACCCTGTGGCCGTCACGCCTGCTGTGGTACCTCTTGTTCCAGAGTGGCCGTGTTGAGGACGATGACCCGGTTCTGGCAACCGCACCACAGCTTCCCTGCCACCGCCACCATCTTTGTGATGGGGCTGCCCGGGGAGCCCAGGGAGAGGGATTTGGAGTTCTGAGGGTCCCAGAAGCGACCTGTAAGGATGGGGGGAGATACAAGGGTTGTGACAGCAGCAGAACCTCCAGCTTGGGGGGAAGAGTTTGCTGGAAACATTCTATCCAGAGTGATGGATCCTCCTTCATGGAATCGTAGAATTGCTGAGGTTGGAAAAGACCTTAAAGATCATCGAGTCCAACCACAACCCAACCATCCTACCCTAAATCACGTCCCTGAGCACCACATCCAAAGGGTTTTTAAACACATCCGGGGATGGTGACTCAACCACCTCCCTGGGGAGCCCATTGCAGTGCTTAACAGCCCTTTCTGTAAAGAAGTTTGTCCTGATATCCAACCTAAACCTCCCTCGGCACATCTTGAAGCCATTTCCCCTTTTCCCATCACCTATCCTCTGCAGGGGGCATCACAGAATCACAGGGGTTGGAAGGGATCATCAAGTCCAATCCCCGTGCTAAAGCAGGTTCCCTAGAGTTGGTTGCCAAGTGGGGCAAGCGTGGGGTCCTCAGTTGATGTCCTTTGGAAGCAGGGACCACATGCTCCAAATTTGAGGTTGCCCGTTCAGCATCTCTCAAAGACGGCCCTCCTTGCCCAGAGAGCCCAGGGATAAGGTCTTGGATTTGTAGGGGTCCCAGAAGGGACCTGGAAGGATGATGTGGAGATGGAGCGGTCACTACAGCAGCAAAACCCAAGCTAGGGGGAAGGGGGTGTCTGGAAACATCATTATCCAGACGCTGATGGATCTCCTTCTATAGGGGATGTAAGCTTGGGGACATTGGGAGTGGTGACATGAGCTGATATCCCTGGGGACACCGGTGAGCAGAGACCACCATGCTCTGTATTTGGGGCTGCTTATTCAGCATCCCTTGAGAATGGCCCTCCCCAGTCTGCTGCTTCCCCTGTGGGTGCCAGCACCCAAAGCACCCCTCCCTCAGAGACCAAACCATCGCTGCTTTGGGGTCCATCCAGCAGTCTCACCTGGCTCCCGCTGGTACACGATGAGCTCTCCATTGGCCAACGACACGAACACTTGGTTATCGAGGTACCTGTGGGGGGAGGAAAGCTTTGAGAAGCACTGCTGGGCAGCCTGAAACCACCCCATGAAAAACCAAACAAGCCCAAAGCCCCCTTACAAGATGCACATGACGGAAGCAGCGTGCTGCATCTTCATGCTGTTCTTCCTGTTGCGGATGTTATCCGACGACTGGTAGACGTGGATGCTGCGGAGGTGGGAGAGAGAAAAAGCACGGGGTTGAGGCTCTTGAAGGGCTGAGCTGTGTCTGTGTGGGTCCTCACGTGTTGGGGACTCACCAGCCATCCTCGGTGCCCAGCCACATGGAGCTCTGGTAGGCTTCAGGGTCAAGGCTCAGCAGGTCCTCGAGGCTGCCACGGGTGAAGGAGCCGCGGCTGGAGCGCCGTAGGGCTCGTCCATCTGTTGGGCTCTCACCACGCCGGCTCTGACCGAAGGCGGTGGCCAAAGGAAGGAAACCAGACTCCTGTTCCTCCTCTGAGCTCGTCGTCTCTGCTGCTGCTTCTTTGCAGCTTGGGATTTCCTCATCTGTGGGGGAGAGAGAGGAGGAGGGGATGGGTCGTAGATATACAGAATCATTGGGGTTGGAGAAGAGCTCTGAGATCATCTCCAGTCCAACTGTCAACCCAACCTTGCCACGATCACAGAATCACAGAATCACCACGATTGGAAAAGATCTCCAAGATCATCCATCCATCCATCCATCCTGGACTTCCAGTCTGACCATCCACCTACCACCAATATTTCCCCATTAAACCACGTCCCTCAGTACAACATCTAAACGTTTCTTGAACTCCATGATGTCTCCATCATGGGAGGCATTCAAGCTCAGGCTGGAGCAGGCTCTGAACAACCTGTTCAAGTGGTAGATCAGAGAATCACAGAATCATTCGGGTTGGAAAAGACTGCCTGTCCAAGTGATGGGGATGAGAGCACATGATGCTGCACAAAGCCCTCATGGTACCCAGGGAGGACGGATGGATGCTGACCCCTAAACATGCCAGAATTTGCCCCACACACGGAACCACTTGCCACCCCAGCCCCAGCATCATGGAGCCTGGACTAGGACCCTGCCCCCACCTCTTTACCCAGGGTTTCTTCAGCTTAAGAAGACAAATGGGATTTGCAATGACAACCTTCATCCAGTGCAGACCTCGCACACTTCTGCACCATCCCTGGGGGTGTTGAAGGCCAGGTAGGATGGGGCCATGGGCAACCTGAGCTGGTGCCTGGTTTAGTGGCATGGGAGCTGGAAGCCGATCTTTGCGATCCCTTCCAACGGAAGCCATTCTATGATCGTGTGGTTCTACAACAGAAGGCAAGCTTCCACTCCAATCCTGTCATCACGAGATCCAAATGAGGATCTCCCTGAGTCTTTTCCCTGTGTTTCTTCAACTTAAAAGACAAACGGAAGCTCCTTTTCTATCAATTTGCAATTGAACCCAAGGCAGAGTGGGGAACAATCACATCGATGACGGAGCTGCCCTCTGATTAGGGACAAAAAAATGGATGACTCACTGCCGAAGCTGGAGGAGATGGTGGAGTGGCTGGCCTGGCTCTGCAGCGTGCCCGAGGGGCTGGGTGAGGACTCATCATCTGTGTCGTCACTGTCAAAGGGCACCAGCTCCCGGTGCGTGCTGTCGACGGGCTCAGAGAGCTCCAGTGATGAGCCCGAGATGGAGATGTGCAGGCATTGCTGTGGCCCTGAATCCTCTGATTGTGTCGGTGCCGGCTCCGAGGACGGGCTCACCATCGGCTCCGTGCGCTCCCTGCCATGGGGACAGCCAACAGCTCCAGCAATGCAACAGCTGGCGCCATCCATGGGGTGAGGGTCTCCTTACCTATAGGGTCGCTTGAGGCCGGGCACGGAGGCGATGCAGAGGATCCTGGCTGAGCAGACAGCGATGCACGCCTCGACGATGGGCTCCTTGCGGATGCTGAGCAGGCAGACCTGCCCCACGTAGCCGTCGCTGTTGCACACCCACACCTCGTGGGCATTCTCTGGGCTGCTGTGGCTGGGAGAAGCACAAGAAAACTGGAAAGGGGCAAAAAACAAGGAGAGGTCACTTGGGAAGGTGCCGGCACGGTGGCATCCCGCTGGTGGACAGGAATACCCAAATGCACCCTCCCGAGAATGTGGGAGCAGCAGATGGACCCACCTGCATCCCGCTTCGTGTTTTCATGATGGGAATGGCTTTGAGGAATTCGGGGTCCAGGCAGTTTTTGCTGGAAGCTGGGGAAATAAGAGAAGAGCTGAAAATTGGGATGCAAAGGAGGCAGTTTGGGTGAAATGGGGTGTGAGATGCTGAGCCCATTTCTGTCTCCCACCCCAGATCCCAGCATTACCCAGCTTCTTCTTGGCATCCTCGAGGGCTTGCTCGAAGCCGAGCCGTGCGTCGGGGTTGGGGAACTCGAAGATGAAGGACTCGGTGCCATCAGCCTTGGCGGCGCTGAGCTCCACTTTGTTGGGGGGGAAGGCCATGCTGAAGGACAAGGACTGCTTCTCTGCCAGTTCCCGGTGGATGGCAGCCATCAGGTCCTTGATGACATCATCCAGGCTCTGGGGAGGGTGACAGCATCAGGGTCCATGGGGTACACGAGCCCCACGTCCATCCCGCGTTACATCCCTTGGAGTAACGTCCCAACCCTCCTGTGGCTTCAGGGCTGGTGGCATCTGGGTCCTTTGAGGGCCACCAACCCTCCCGCAGGCTCTGTGTTTCAGTGAGTACATCCCAGCTGGTCTCATGGTGGAGGTCACCCACAGGGGGCCACCGTCCCCATACCTGGTGGGGGAAGCTGAGGGTCTCTGACAGCTTGCTGACTTGGCCCAACGTGCTGAGATCTTCGTCCAGGCGGCAGATGCTCTTCTGGATGCTCTCACGGTTGGTGGCTTGTGAGGCACCTGCATGGGGACATGCGTGTGACATTAACCCCTTCCTCCCCACAGCTGCCCAGGGGAGGCTTCTCCCCTAATGCTTTTAGCCAGGGCGGTGTCAGCCCCAGCAATGGGATGCTTTGAGCCCATCGCTGTTTGCTAGGGGTTGAGTAATGGGTTTCAGGACATGGAATTGGCATCAGGCAGTGGCAGACCTTTGATGATGTCCACATCCTCCAGTGGCAGCTTCCAGAGCAGCTTGTACTTGCTGGCCGTGTCGATCACGCTGGCTGCTGTGTACCTGCAGGACCAGGGGTTGGTTGAGCCACGCTTCCCCCTAAAGCCATCCCAGCCCATGGGGATGCCCCAAGGAGGTGGGATAACCCTAGAGAGATGCAATGGGAAAAGGAGCTGGCTGTCCCCCATGCCCGGTGGCACTCACAGGCTCATGGAGCTGCGTCGAAGGGAGCCCGACTTGCGCTTCAGTGTGGTGCACACCAGCAGGTCCGTGAAGAGGAAGAGAGAACGGTCTTTCTTCCCACCCACTGCCTTCTGCAGAGAGGCAAGAGACACAAAGGAGTGCAAATGCACCCACCTGCCTCAGCTTCTCCATGTCCCACCCCTACAGTGGTCCTGGGGGAGCCTACAAGAATGCCAGGACCTCTGTGATTCCCATCTTCAGTCTCTCTGTCCAACCCTCACCCTGGGCTACTGCCCTTCTTATCTTTCCCCATGCACTTGGGGACTTCTATATTGTCCCCATCCATCTGTCTGTCCGTCCGTCCGTCCATCCATCTACCCACTCATGCTTCACTCCGTGCACACCTCCATGCATACCTCCATGCATGTGACCATAATTAATCACCCATTATCCGTTCATTCCTCCATTGTCTACACATGTGTCCATTCATGTACGTGTCCATCCATCCGAGCATGCTTCCATCCATGCATTCATCCCTCAGGTCATCCATCCATTATCCACCTGTGCGTGCTTCTACCCCATGAACACCTCCATACATTCATCCATGCATGTATCCATCATCTGTCATCCATTACCCATCCATCATTCATCCACCCATGTTTCTGTCTGTCCATCCATCCATCCGTGATCCCTGTTGGACGTGACCCACCATCCCAACCACCGACTGCCCCGCTTGGTGCACGGTGCAAAGTGAATGTGACATGGGGACAAGGGACAGAGGGCCATCTCTTACCACTTCCACCACCATCTCCTGTCGAAGGAACCTGCGGAGTGGGGCCTGGAGCTGTGGGGACAAGGAGGTTTATGAGTGGCTTTGTTCCTACTCCTGGACCCCACCAGCTCTGACTTGTCACCCTGTCCCCTTCCCGAAACTCCCAGCAACCCATGGAGGCAAGAATGGGGAAGGCAGGACCCGAATGAGGAAACAGGTGGCCCAACATAGGTCAACCCCCCAAAATGGCTGAGTTTTGAGTGAAAGGAAAGACCTACTCCATGTGTTTGGTGCTGGGTGCAGCTTAGATATGGGTGCTGCTCCCTTGGGTGGTTCAGCCAGGCCGAATGTCCCCTCTTGTCCCTGTGCCCTGCAGCCAGTGTCCACGTCACCCACCCCCACCCAGGACCCCATGCCAAGACCCCCATCCATACATCCTCCATCCCTTCAATGTGGGACTCGATCTCCTGCACGATGCGTGCGTTCCTCTCCACCTCCTCAGCACTCTTCATCCCCTTGTTGATCCTCTCGGCCACCTGCTTGATGTTGCGTTGGGCGTCGATGAGGAAGGGGTGGTCGGGGTGGTCCTCAGGTGTGTGTTTCAGCAGGTCCTGCCAAGGGGGACACCACGGTGTCACTCCTTCCCAGGGTGGCAGGGACCTCATCCCAGTGCCACTCCTCCTACCTTCACCAGCAGCTCGTACCGCGGGATCCTCTGGACAGGTTTGATCATCAGGTCAGACAGAGCTTGCTTCTCCTTGTTCTCTCGCATGCTTTGCTGCAGAACATTGGTGGGGGACAAGTTAGGTAATGGGGACACGCCACGGCACCATCCCAGGACATGGAGTGACACTGCTTTGGGATCCAGGTGACACCTTTTGACAACACCCAGGACGTGATGCCCCGTCCATCCCTGGAGGTGTTCAAGGCCAGGTTGGATGGGGCCCTGGGCAGCCTGGGCTGCTATGAAATGTAGGGGTTGGTGGCCCTGCCTGCATTGCTGGGGTAGTAGAGGGGCTTCATGATCCTTGAGGTCCCATCCAACCCGGGCCATTCTGTGATGCTGTGATTCTATGACCTTACATAAGGCTTTCCCCAATAAAAAAAAAAAAGATGGAAAAATCCCACTTTGACTGTAGATAACCAATTTACTCCCATTAACTCCTTCTGCTCCACCAGTGGCTCCCAGTAAGACAGTGACCAGCCCATGGTGGCACCCAGGACCCACCTCCAGGAACTTCATGAACGCCGGCCGTGCCTCCTTAGCGATCCTGACAGCATCCTTGGCATTGAGGAAGTTATCGATGTAGGCAGAATAGATGTTCACCAACACATCCTTGGAGAACTGGGGGAAACAGGAGGAAGTTTTTAGGAGGAAGTTTTGGAGGCAGAGGGTGGTGAGGCAGTGGCACAGGTTGCCCAAGGAGGCTGTGGATGCCCCATCCATCCCTGCAGGCATTCAAGGCCAGGCTGGATGTGGCTCTGGGCAGCCTGGGCTGCTGGTTGGCGACCTGCACACAGCAGGGCTTGGAGCTGGATGAGCACTGAGCTCCTGTGCAACCCAGGCCGTTCTATCATTCTGTGATTCTATGAAATAGGAAAAACGGGATCAGCACGGGGTCGGGGCACGGCTGGAGGTTGGAGAAGCTGTCCCAAGGGTTAAAACGGTGTCCATCTGCATCTGCCCAAGCTCAGCTCCCCGCCTCGATTTTTCAGCCCTGACATTTCTGCTCCCGATGCAGAAACTCCAAGCTGCAGAGCCAGCCGGCCGCCGCACCACCCCGCCGTTAAGCTAAGCAGACCAAGGGCCTGGAGATCGTCTCTCTCCATCTCCGACGTGGTTCGCCCATCCTTTCATCATCCCCCTGCTTCCTGCTCCCTGCTCGGGGCCGTGTCCGAAAAAACAAGCACGATAAAGCGAGGCTTTAGGACTGAACCCAAAATGGGGAACAGGGTCGGGTCCTACCGACTGCACCAGGAGGTCGCCCACTTTCTGCTTCTCGTGCCAGTTCTGCACACAGTCGTGGATCTGCTCCAGGAACTGCTCGTGGTGCTCCAGCAGCTCGGGGATTTGGTCGAAGATCTCATCCACCAAGGATGGGTCGCACAGCAGTGAGTTTTCGGGTTGTTTCAGCGGCTTCATGTAGCCCTATAGGGAAGCGTTGTGTTGGGGCACCAAGAGATTATCTCCTTTTTTTTTTTTTCTTTTCTTTTCTTTTTTTTTTTCCCCACGTCTCCAAAATGACTTTTTCAACCCATTTCATCCCAGCAGGGGGTTTCCCCCAGTGAACCCAGCCAAAGGCACGGAATGCTGGAGGAGGCGTCGACCCTACACGGCTTTGGGCACTCGGGGACAGATCAGAGGGTCTAGCTGTGCCAATTTTGGCACTCCAGTCCCACAGGGACCAATCCTACCCAGTGCATCCCACAGCAGTTTGGGGAGCAGAGTAGGTTTGCTGTCATGAATCTTAGTCCCCTCTGAGTCACCCAACTGGGAAATCATGGCAGCACAACTGTGGGATCCTGAACTATCAGTTCTGGGTGGACTTTAGGATTCTTGGGGCCAGGAGGAAGGTCTTCTCAAGCCTTCTCAAGCCTTGCATCCTCCTTATCCCCAGGTATGGGGTGCTGGTGTATTTTGGGAGGACCATGGAGCTGAGAAAGGTAGGACGGGACCCACTTCAAGCTGCTTTGGATGTCTCCACCTGAGCTGCTGATGGAGGTGCCTCCCACTAAGGATGGGGTTCCCCATGTTGATGATGGGGGAGAAGAGCGTGCAGATGGTTCCCAGCTCAGCAAACAGCAGAGCTGCCCCTGCACCACCTGGGCTGGCTGGAAGCTGCTGCTCCAGCTGGTCCCCATGACTGGGAGCCACAATCCCACAGCCACCAGTGCACCTTTTCCTTGCTGTGTCATTTGGAGCCCTGTGGTCCCACTAGAAGACCAGCTCCCCTGGATGTGTCTCAAGGATGACAGCTCAGCCATCAACACCATGACCAGCAGGGACACCATCCAACCAAGAACCATGCAGAGCTTCTCCCAAAATCAGGCCTAGGGCCAGTCTCCTTTTGCCCCTCCAAGGCAACATCTGCACTAGGAGCTGCCTCAAAAGGTCCTTTCCTCCTTCAGCAGAGCACACCTGGATCTGCTGTGGGATTAGCCTCGCTGGGGGCGGATCAGGAAAGTCAAAATAGGTGTCAGATGACAGCTGCCCAAATGCTCATCCCAGCAGATGTCAGACAGGCACCGCTTTCTGGCAAGCAGATCAGACCTTTGGGCATTTCCACCTGCAGCAACAGGGTCTGACATCCCATAGCTATGCCAGAGTGGCTTAGCCTTCAAGGGGCCCATTGCCATCGTCTTTCTGAAACAGCTTCACAGCCATCTGAGATGTGAGCAAGGCTGCTCTGGGAGGAAGGGATTAGGCTGGGGAAAAAATGGGACCTCAAAATCCCCTAGCCCATGGGGGGTGTTGGGGGTGTCGGAGTCCCCCAGCACGGGATGTGCACCAGCAGGGGCTCAGGAGATGCAAGGAAGAGGTTTGGGATGCGCTCCCTTCTAGGTGACAGCTGATCAGGACCAGCTATGGGGTTGATTTGTTGCCGTCCCCAACGCTGCCACCCATCTCCTCCCCGTTCCTGTGCTGATACAACACTGGGGTCTGACTCCTCATCCCAGGCACGGCCACAAGGAAGGGAAGGGCACAAGGAAGGGATGGGCACAAGGAAAGGACAGCCGCGCTGTGACAGCTCCCCATGTCCCCCCGCACCACCGCGTGCCCCCCCACACCGCATCCATACCCCCCTTACCTGCATCAAGGTGCGCAGGGACTCCACGTAAGACTGCTCCGTGTCCAGCAGCGTCATGATGACGTGCTTCCTCATGTCCTGCACGGGTGGAGAGAAAACCCAAATGAAATCGGTGTGACAACAGGGACACCGAGACGTCCCCTCCGGTGCCGGCACGGGGGCTGTGCGCCAGAGGAGCCCGGCGTGCTTCCAGCTCCCTCTCCGCCCCGATGGAGGAATCCAGGAGGATTAGGAAGTACATGACACCGACGCCTGGTTTCCTCCACGCCCGCGTCAGGAGCTCTCACAGCCCTACATGGGTCGGTGCTGGCGGGCTCCTTCTCCCCTCTTGGCGCGGCCCCGTGCTGTGAATTCCTGACGGCACCCGGGCACCCGCGCTGGTCCCATCCAGCTCTGATGCTGCGTGCGCCAAGGAGGGGGCTCAGAGGGTTGTGGGGGGGTTGTGGGGGTTTGGGGTTTGGGCAGATCTGGGGCTCAGAGTCCCCCCTATAATAGGGCATGCCCCCAAGCGGAGCCTAGGCTGAAGCTCAGCCTTAGGGCACAGTGGGACAAGGGATACAAGGTGAGTGGCACCCTGAAAGTTTTGAGTGCTGAAGTGTTCTAGAGGCTCCGGATTCAAAGATGCCCCAAAGGTACTGGGTAGCTGGGATGCTCCAAGGACCCTCGGTGCAGAGACACCCCCAAAAGATTGGGGTGCAGAGGTGCTCCGAAGGCCCTACACCCCAGAAGCTTTGGGTGCAGGGGTGGTCCAAGGACCACAGGTATGAGACACCCCGACAATTCTGGGTGCCAAAGTGCTCTGATGATCCAGGATGCAGAGACACCCCAAAAATTTTGGGTTCCAAGGTGCTCCAAGGACCATTGGTGCAGAAACACCCCAAAAGATTTGAGTGCAGAAGTCCTCCAAAGACCCTACACCCTCCAAATGTTGGGAGTAGAAGCGATCCGAGGACCATGGGTATGAGACACCCCAACATTTCTGGGTGCCAAGATGCTCCAAGTACCCTGGATGCAGAGACACCCCAAAAGTTTTGTGTGCTGAGGTGCTCCAGATACTTGGGGATGGAGATGCTCCAATGGCTCTGGGCACAGTGAGACCCAAAGAGCCCTGGGACTGCAGGCACCCCAAAGCCATGCATGCAGGGACCTTCCCCACAGGCCCCCCCCCTGCAGAGATGTCCCAACCAGATGTCCCTGGAGCTGCAGAACCCCAGTCTGGCCGCACACCCCCATTTCTCTTGCACCCCCATATCGTTTATGGGCTCAACCACACCAAAATGCTGGAACACTCACCCCAAATAATGCACTTTCCCATCCACCCATCCCTGCCCACGGACGGAGCAGTGCCTCAGTTTCCTAATTGCTCTCCACGCTGAGGCTGCTTTCTCTCCACCAAAGCAACTTTCCTCCTTGCACATCCTGGACCACAACTTTCAGTGTCAGGACCGACCCTATGTGGAACCACACTGCTCCTGCACCGTGCCTCAGTTTCCCCAGCACGCACACAGCTCCTTGTTCCTCCTGACCCTTTGTGGACTGCTCCCATCTTGCTTCCCCTAAGATCCCCAAACCTGACACAGCCCACCCTCACCCTGCATCAGCATGGTACTGAGATGCTCAGCACCCCACAGATCAGGGAATGTGGGGGGCATTCCCCCAGCACTGCAACCACCAGCCCCATCTGCACACCTCCGCAGTGCAAGCAAGCATCTGTGGTTGGGGTGGGGGGGGGGCTGTGTGCAGATTCAGACCCCAGCACTCCCACAGCCCCCAGATGCTCAGCACAAAGCAGAATGAGGATGGAGGTGTGGGATGAGGATGGAGATATGAGATGAAGATGGAGGTACGGGATGAAGATGGAGGCACAGACGAGGGGGGATGAGGATGGCAGCACAGATGAAGATGGAGACATGAGATCCAGATATGAGCACAGGATAAGGACAGAGGTGTGGGATGAGGATCGAGGCACAGGATGAGGATGGAAGCACAGAGTGGATGGAGGTGCTGATGAGGATGAGAATGGAGGCACAGATGAGGATGAAGGTGTGGGATGAGGACGAAGGCACGGATGAAGATGGAGGCACAGATGAGGGTGGTGGCACAGATGAGGACGAGGATGAAGGACCAGGATGAGGATGGAGGCACAGAGCGGATGGAGGTGCAGATGAGGATGAAGACGAGGATGAAGATGAAGGCACAGATGAGAGCAGAGGCACAAGATGAAGATGAGGATGGAGGCACAGCTGAGGACGGAGGCGCAGAGGAGGATGGAGGTACAAGAGGACAATGATGAGGATGAGGATAGAGGTGTGGAATGAGGATAAAGGCACAAGATGATGATGAGGATGAGGATGGAGGTGTGGGATGAGGATG